ACCGTCCTATGTCTTCGTCGACGTTCGCGAAGGCCTATGTCCCCGGTCCTGAATTTGACCTTAAGCTTTGTCCCTGCATCCATTGGTCCATGTAGGTAATCCTTGAACCCTATTCCTTCTTTCAACATTCCGTACACTTCTAGACCCTCCTTATCCTTGGATTCTTTCCTTAGATTCTGTTCTTCTCTGTCGGCACAAGCAACAGATATCTTCTCCTTGAACCCCTGTAGACCCTCCGTTTCCAGCGTTTCATCTTCGTCGATGTCCAATCCCTTCCATACGTCCTCTACAACCTTGACCCATTCCGTGGGTTGTCTACTCCTCTTTTTATTTGCCCACTTCGCCTCCCATACTATTCTCGGCAACCTCTCCTCTCCCATCCCGCACATGCGGTACTGCCATGTCAGCTTCCTTACGTCTCTTCCCGACCGTAGGGATTGGATCCCCAATTCTGCCCTGACTGCTGCATTACTTGTGCGCTTGGAGCATCCTAGGATGATTTTCGCTGCTTTCATCTGCGCCGCCTCGAGTTCTTTCACTAACTTCTTATTTCCTTCCCATACTTCTCCGGCGTACTCCAGCGGCGGTACGATTACGCTCTTCAAAACCGTCAATTTGATGCGTGTATCAAGGTGCCGGTTTGCGAGTATTGGGTGAAGCTTCCCTGCTCGTGCTTTGCCCTTTTCCGCTACCTTGGACATGTGTGCATTCCACGAGCAATCTTTTGCGATCTCTACTCCGAGGTATGTGTACTGGTCGACTACTGCAATCTCCTCGATCCCCCACTTCCATCTATGTTCTACTGGTTCCTCCCTGCCCTCGTTGCATACCATGACGGCACTCTTCGTAACGTTGGCAGACAATCTCCACTTATCAGTAAACTTCTTCGCCGCGTCAATTTGCAGTTGCAGTCCCTCAGGGGTGTCCGACATACCAACAAAGTCATCCGCAAACAGCATTCCTGACACCGAAGTTTCCGTGTCCCCTACTTTTACTCCCTTCCGGACTGCCTCTACGACTTCCAACAGATCGTTGATGAACACCTGGAACAATGTTGGGGACAGCGTGCAACCTTGTGGGACCCCTTGCTCAATGTCGAAGAATTTAGACAGTTCTCCGTCTAGCATGACCGCGCTTTTCGTACACTCTGTCATCTTCTTCAGCACCCTCCACATTTTCCCCTTGATCCCGTACTTGGACAATTGTTTCCACAGCCCATTTCTCCATACGGTATCGTATGCCTTTTTCACGTCCAGGAAGAAGCAGTACGTCCGCTTGCCCGCCCTCTTTCTACCTTGGATGATTCTCCCTACCGTGAATGCGTGGTCTACGCACCCCCTCTTCTGTCGGAAACCTGCCTGGCCCTCACTAATGCTACGTTTCTTCTCCAATACTCCCACTATCCTATCATTCAGCAGCTTACAGAACACTTTTCCTACTGTGTTCAACAGTGTGATACCCCTGTAGTTTCCTGGGTCAGTCTTGTCTCCTTTCTTAAACAAGTTCACAACCACTCCTTCCCTCCATCTACTTGGCGCATACTCGTTTTTCCACACCCAGTTGTACAGCAGTACCATCAGCTGGATCATCCCCTTGCCCCCAAACTTCATGAACTCGTTTACTATCCCATCCGCCCCTGCTGCTTTGTGGCACTGCAGCTTGTTCACACACGCCTCAACCTCGTCCTCAGTGAACTCCTTTTCTAGTTCTACGTTCCCAACGTCTGCCTTCGATGTCTCTTCTTCTTTCTGGGCCCATGCGTCCACCTCCTTCTTAAACACTTGGTCAAAAACTTCATTCTCCGAAGGCACTCCAAGTCTCTTGTAGTGTCCTGCTAGAACTTCCCTTTTTCCCTTCCCACTGCTGACTATTCCACCGTTCACACCTCGCAATGTTGCTACCCCTGTATCCCCCCCTTGCGCGGTCTTTTTTACCATCCCACTAATCCCTTCCCACATCTGCTTGACGTTCCCCTCCAGGCCTCCGTTGGCCTTCTGCACTACTTCGTCCCAAATGCTCTTTTTCTTCTTTTTCACTAGTCCCTTCACCTGTTTCCTCTTGGCCCTGTACTTTTCCCAACTCTCTTCAGACCCCTCACCCAGGTACTGCTTGAAGACTTCTCTACGTTCCCCTATTTCTTCTTTCAGCTCGTCATCCCACCACTTAACCGATACCCCACATCGTACCACCTTCTTTCCCACTACTCTCTCTGCCGTTGTGTTCACTATGGACTCCCATCCTTCAATCACCCTGTCCCCTGCTGCTTGTACGTCTACCTTTCCGTCTTCGACGCTTCTCAGCAGTTTCCTGAAGGGTTCTACACTACCAGCCAATCCCTTCTGGAATTCATCGCGTGTCCCCTCGTCTCCCAAACGCTCTACTTTCCACCGGAACACTTTCCTCTTTTTCTTACTCTCCGTCTTTCTAGATCGGTCGATGTTTGCCCATATGAGGAAATGGTCGGTCGAACCTATATCTATCGCACTTACGTGCAGCTCCGGGACCTGTGTGCTCCCCCTATCTACCAGGATGTAGTCGAGGATCGAGTATTCATTGCAAACTGCCCTCTGCCTGGTGAACTCTGGCTTATCGCTTTCCCTCCTACCGTTCAACACCATCAGCTCGTTGCTTCCCAAGAATTCAAGCATCCTCACTCCGTTGTCATTCACTTTGTCTTCTCCGTGCTGCCCGATCGCCTGTCCTCTACTGCAAGCTTTCCCTACTCTGGAGTTGAAATCGCCCACCATGACAACTTCTCCCTTCCTACTGAACCTCTGGACATCTTCCCCAATTTGTCCGACAGGCTTGGGGGAGGAGGCAAAAGAAGCACAGAAAACCCAACCTGTTCGTTGCTCGCTCTGGGCCGTTGGAAGATGTCACTTAGCACTGCGTGGCCAGTATTAGGTAGGGCCCAAGTCCATCGCTTGACACAAACAGTCCATCGCTTGACACAAACAGTCCATCGCTTGACATAAACAGGTAGCGCAAATTGCCTCACGTGCAGCAGCCGGGTGCAAAAGTAGGCTCTTACTACTGAGCGAAACCACCTGCGGTTGACGTAGTTCGATGTTGTTGGGACCCCACCAACCGGCGAAAGGCGAGAGAGAGACAGGTACTGTAGGTAGACAACAAAGAAGAGAGCGGAAAGCAGACAAGGGATCCACTCTCGAAAAGACACCCACTTACTCTGGTCCTTTGGCCCACCGCAGGCTGTCAGACATGTGTAACGGACGGCGGTTTCCGATTACGATGTGGGCTCAGCAACACGGGCTCAGCAAAGAAGAACAGTGCGGACTTTCATCTCCTGTGACGAAGTGAGAACAAAAAAGAACACGAATGACCGCTGCTGTACACGGACGAACTACAGCAGTAGTATCAAGTCCGTCCGCGATAGATGTGCACCGCTGCACGAATGTGGGAACTGTCCGTTGCCACACACCTCACTTTTGTAAATAAGATTGTGCTGCCATCTACCTTATGGCTCAAGTTACGACTGACTACGCAGTGACTCCAAAAAGGCAACACGCTTATATACGATGTATTCCACACCACATGCATGCATATGCCGCTTATACTGTCTGTACTGTGCGATGCATACCACCCATGCATACGCAGCAGCAGAAAAAAAAGGCCTGCTGTTGTCTGTCTCTTCAGCTGCTGTGCTGCTGTTGCAACAGGCGAAAAGTAGGTGACGCGCATCGCCTACTACGCGAGCAACGCCTAAGCGAGCAACGCGTGCAGACCAAAGCCACAGAGACTGAAGCAATCCAGCAACAGCCGTATGGTCACTCACGAAGAAAGTCACAAAAAAAACAAAAAGATTGTGGCGCGCAGCACGCAGGACCCTCTTTCGCTGTTCAACCCGCCGTTCCCATGGCGACACAGACAAGGAACAGTCCAGGCCAAGTCGTGTCGGCCACAGCAGGTGGAAGCTGCTGAAACTCGAGGAGGGGTAATGGTTTGCGATTGCCTACCGAACCATACTTCGGGCGCCACGAGATTTACACCGTAGCTCGAGATCGGCATTTGAGACAGGGTCGGGCAAGGGGTGGGCTATGCGAATAAAAGTTCCACGGATATTGAAATATGAGACTGAAGCTAAAGCTTCAGAATTTTGCTGTTTTCGGGCGTCTCGTGTTGGGTGCATGTGGGTTTCGTCACTGTGTTGGTTGGTTGATTGCTGATACCAGTGTTGGATATTGGTCGGGCAGAAGGGTTCGATACAATACGCCAATCGTATCGAGAAAAAAAACACAAATACCGATATTTTGTTCGATATCCCGAAAATGGCTCGATACGTATCGAGTATCGATACTCGATATCGATACGGCTGTTTTGAAGGCCTCGGTTACAAGAAGAGCGAGCGTTACGCAACTACACGTACCCTGGCACACCCGAACCCTTATCTGAAGTATACAGCTGTGCGCAAGACGTGCGCGCATGGTCCGGCGGCATGCAAGTAGTGGTGTTTGCCAGGTGCCAGGTGTGTGCAGTTAGTTAGTTGAACATCACGGGCACAACAACAGCGGGCACACGTTGTGGCGTGATGTCGCGCATACAAAATAAAAAAAAAACTGCATCGTGCAAGAGGCAGGAGTTGGTTGTGTAGCTATGTCCACCAGATATATTTTACATTTTACTATGTCCACCAGATATATTTTACATTTTACAGTCAGTGTGCATGTGTGTATACACGTACACACTATAACACCGCCGTACGGTTGCGATCGAATCAGTGCAAGCTCGGCTGCGAGCAGGATTTCATGACAAAAAACGCGAAAAAAACTCGAACACTTACTTGGTTTTATATTATTATCTTACCTTCAAAGTTATGCATGCAAAATTCCACCCACCAGTTGTGGGTGCCCAACAATCAGCAATGCACCTCGAGCGAGTATCAACTCTAGAAAAAC